AAGGTAAGCCCTGGGGGTGCCCCCTCCCCGCCTCCCCCGCCGGGTCCCCCCGCTTCTGACGCCGCCATCCCCACAGACACGGGCGGCGCGCGTGCGCGTGGGCAAAGGGGACAAGCCGGTGACCTACGAGCAGGCGCACGCCCCCCACTACATCGCCCACCGCAAGGGCTGGCTCTCCCTGCACACCGGTGGGTCACCCCACGTCCCACCCCCCCACATCCCAGGGATGGGGAGGGGACCATGATGGGGCAGCGGGGATGGGGGCGCGTGGGGCACGGGGCGCCCGTGGGCATTGCGGGAATGGGGGGTGTGGGGATGGGGACATACGGGGCATGAGGGCATCGCGGGGATGGGGTGTTGTGGGGACGGGGATGTGTGGGGCACACGGGTATTGCGGAGGTAGGGATATGTGGGGCACATGGGCATCACGGGGGGTGGGGACAGGGGCACGTGGGGCACGAGGGCATCTGTGGGGATGGGCCACGGGACTGCGTGGGAACAGGGACGTGTGGGGCACATGGGCATCGTGCGGGCAGGAGCACGTGGAGCACACGGGTATCGTGGGGATGGGACACACGGTCATCGTGGGGACGGGGACGTGTGGGGCACATGGCCGTGGCGGGGCCAGTGATGTGCGGGGCGGGCACACGGTGACGGTGTGGCCGGCGTGACCTGGCGAGGCGCATCGGTGCCGGCGCCGACCCTCTCTGTGCCCGCAGGGAACCTGGCCGAGGAGCCGGGCGCGGCGGAGCGGGCGGTGGAGGACGCCTTCCTGCGCCGATTCTTCTACGGCACCTTCCCCGGCATCCTGGCGGACGAGATTGTGCTGAAGCGCCGCGCCAACCTGCTGGTGGTCTGCCTGGTGCTGGCGCGGGGCCTGCCGCCCTCCAAGCTCTACTTTCTGGTGGGCTACGCCGAGACCCTCCTCTCCCACTTCTACAAGTGCCCCGTGCGCCTGGAGCTGCAGACAGTGCCCGGCAAGGTGGTCTACAAGTACCTCTAGCGTCTGGCGGTGCCCCCCCACGGTGGTGGTGGTGAATAAAGCGGGGGTTTGTACCCACCACGCCTCGCCTGTGGGTCTTGGAGGGGTTGGGGGGGGCACCCCATTGCTGTGGGGTGGGCCTGGCCCCGCAACACTCCTGTGCCCCGAATGGCCCCATCCCTGCGGTGCCCGTGTGCCCCCCGTGTCCCTCTCCCAATAGTGCCCATGTGCCCCACATGTCGCTGTCCCCATGATGCCCATTGTGCCCCACACGGCCCGGTGATGCCCTCGTGCCCCATGTGGCCCCATCCCTGTGGGCCCCATCACTGCCATGCCCACGTGCCCCACATGTCCTTGTCTCCTGTGCCCCCCACAGTCCCAGCCTTGGGGTGCCCATGTGCCCCACATGTCCATGTCCCTGTGATGCCTGTGTGCCCCACAAGGCTCCATCCCTGCCATGCCCTCGCGCCCCATATGTCCCCATCACCCTGGTGCCCACATGCTCCACACATCCTGATCCCGTGTCCCCGTCCCTGCGTCTCCGCACAGACCCCGTGACGCTTCAGAGCCAAGATGTGGTTTCTATATAGAGGTGCCCCTGCCCCTCCCTGGCCATCCCAGTTAAACCCAGTCCCGAATCTGAGAAAACCAGTTTAAATACGACAGCAGTAGAAAAAGTGGCAGCAGGAGGGGGCGGTGAGGGGCAGCGGGGCTCAGCCCTGCCTGGGGGCCGTGGCCTTGTCCTTCTCCTTGTCCTTGTCCTCGAAGCAGGGGTTGCTGAGGGCCAGCCCCACACCCTGCTCGGCGCCAGCCGCCGTGTCCCCCGCTGTGTCCCCCTCCGTGTCCGCCATCGTGTCCCCCACCAGCACCTGTGCGCTGGGTCTCTGTGAGGACAATAGGGGACAGCGGGAGGCTGCCATCATCCTCCTGGGGGGAACATCAGGGACAGGGCACCGTCCCCAGGGGGGGCAGGGGGGTCTTACCAATGTAGCTGAGGAGGACGGGGAGGAAGATGAGGCCATGGGCCAGCCCCACCAGGGTGATGATGAAGTTGAGGCGGAAGAAGAAGATCTGGATGAGCTGCGCCTTGGCAAAGGCCAGCACCACGATGCCGGGCAGGTTGGTCATGGCCACCCCGGCCACCACCTGCGCCCAGGACGGGGTCAGCGACAGCCGGGTCACCCTGTCCCTCCTGTCCCCGGGGAGGGAAGGGGGTCTGCGTGGCCGTCTCCCCCCTGTCCCGTGCCCACCTTGCTGCCCATGTTGACGGTGGCTTCGGCGGCTCGTTCCACCCGGTCGGGCTTGGTGCTGTGGGCGAAGGCGCAGGTGATGTGGGACACAAACTCCACCGAGATGCCCACGGCCTGCGGGGACGGGCTGTCACCCAGGGGCACCCGTGGGTGCTCCTCTGGGCTGCCACGGGGTGGGGGGAGCCCACGGCTGGGCATGGCTGGTGGGCGCCCATCCTGTGCTTGTGCACCCTGCGTGTCCCAGTGCCCTGTGCCACCCTGCACGCCCCAGGCTGCTCTGTCCCCACGTCATGCTGTGCATCCCATCTCCTGCCACCTCCTGTATCCCCAAAGCCACCCCACATGCCCCGCACCGTGATGAGGTCAATAAGGGACCATGGTGTTGTAGGGGACGTCCCAGCAGGGCCATGGTGTCCACGAGGACCACACTGATGGTGACGATGGTGGCTGGAGCTGCCTTCGCCCCTTCCCCTTTGTCTGCACCTTTGCCGGATGATCCCCTTGCCTGCGACCCTGGGATGGGGGGGGGGTTGTGGGCGAAGCAGAGGGGGGACCCCATGGGTGTTGGGGGCCCATGTCAAGCTGATGCCACCGGCTCGTTCCCAGCAGCTGCCTCGCTCTGCCTGTGCTGCCTTCACACCTGCTGCCTGTTGGTGCTTCGTTAGCTGGGGCTTAATTTCCTGCCCTCTCCCTCGACAAGCAGAGAGTTGTGGAGGGGGGTGATCCCTCCTGGGCTGCTTCTGGTTCTTGGTGTGTGGGAGCAGAGTGGGGTGCTCCCTGTGTCTCCCCAGATCATCTCACCCTGCCTTCAGGTACTCAAAGGTGAAAAAATCTGTCCTAATGGGAGTGACTGGGGTGATAGGAGTGGATTAAAATCACCATTTGCCTCAATGTCCCACCCAAAAAACCTGTCTGTGGGGCTGGGAGTGCTTTGGGGGTTCTGAGGACCTTTGAGGTGTGCTGGGGGGTCCCGGGGGGGGGGGCAAGCACTGGAGTGGGGAGGGGGACAAGAGACCCCCATGTCCCTGCAGTGCAGCTGCATGTGGCTGAGCTGCTTTTAAGGATGGAGGCTTGTTCTTCTGAGGTATCGTGGTCCCACAGTTGGTTGGTGGTCCCGAATCTATGGGGTAGGCTGGGGGAACGTGGGACAGGGGGGATGTGGGATAGGGGGACGTGAGCTGAAGCCAAAAGCCATTGCCCGGCTGGCACGACCGCAGGAGGCGCAGCCCCACCGTGATCTGCCAGACTTGCAGCTGGCCGTGTGCTGCGTCCAGTGCCCGGTGGGAGCTTTGGGAGAGGCTCTGGGTGCCGGCATGCTCCTGCCCCGAGTCCAAGCGGGTCTTTCGTGATTGTTAGTGGTGTTAAGGTGGAAGACCTCTGGTGAGAGAGGCGATTCCTCTGTCGCACCCCTGAGTGGGCAGGTGTTATATTAAAGCTCTCCTAAGGCAATTAAGAGCCCTTCTGGATAAAACATAGGTGGTGAAGACCAGGCAAAGCCATGAGCTGGTTTCTGTTGCTTTTTTTGCCACTGCTAGTGTTTGTAGCAGCTCTTAATATTCAGAGCTGCTGGTGGGGGGGACTTGTCATGGCCAGAGCAGCTGTGGGTTTAGGAGAAATCCCTGCTTGGAAGCTCTGTCCAGAGTCTGGGGAGCGTGCCAGCTGGGAAGGCGATGGGAACTTGAGTCACCCTGGCTGCCTTGGGGAGATAGTTGCGGGCACAAACGTAATAACTGTCGTCTCTGATGTCTGCGTGTTTGTATGTGTTTATATGTGATGTTTGTGTTTATATATGATGTTTGGAAAGGGAAGGGTCAGTCCAGTGCCATGAAAACCTGTGAGTTTTCCCAGAGCCCTTTAGAGAAAGCTGCTCTCTGTGCTGGTAGTGGTCTGTGCCAGGGTAGGAGCCTTTATTTAGTGCTTTGTTTCCTCTTAGCTTTAGTTTTGGCCTAGAAAGTGTACAAATCTCTCTCCCTTTTTTTTTTTTTTCCTTTCCCACCCCGCTGCCCTGAGATAGAACGCATTCATCTTGCCCCACAGCCTGTGATGGCTCGTTTGACTCCTGCAAATGCCTCCGTGCTCCCCAGTGAGCATGTCAGTGCTCTCGGGGGAGTGAGGACGTCAGGTCCCACTCCTGGGGATGGTGGCAGTCAAAGAGATGGTGTCATTGTACCATGGTGCCGAGGCGGCAGCTCTTGCTGAGAGTAGATGGGGGTTTTAAAACCAGATGGCTGCAGTTAAAGCAGTCCTGCTTTTCTAAGCCCTGGGAGTGAGGTGCCAAGGCAGCGGCACTGGAGCCCTTGAGCTGGTGGACAGGCAGTTTGGTTTGTGGTCCTGAGTGCTGTTTAGCAGAGGCCACTGCTGGGAAACTTGTGCAGATAAAATGGGGAATGCTGGGCTGGAGATGCAGCCATGGGGCAGCTGGTGCGGGACAGGGATGGTCCCAGTCTCGGTTGTTTCTCCTGCCTGTCTGGCTGTGTGTGCATCTTCACTTGTGTGCCGATGTGGATTCCGATTTCCCTTCCCTTTCTCTTGCAGGCTGTACCCAGCTGCTGAATGAGCTGCACGTGACTCTTTCCTTCCTTCCAGGACTGGCTGGCCAGCATCACCCAACCAACCCATCCATCCCCAGTCTGAGGGTAAGGCTTTGGGGACCACCTCGGGAGAGCCTTTGGGCTCCCCTCCCCACCTCTATCATTAAGCTCTTGGCAGCATTAAGTAACTGTCAGCCCCAAGGGAGGTGGGCACTCTGCCTGGCTTGGAGCAAGTGTTATTTTGCCCTGGGACATTTCCATCTACTTTGATTTGTTTCCTGAATGTGGCTTAGTGCTTATCAGCAGCCTGGTGCTGCTGTTTATCCCTTGGAAGGGAGAATTTCCCTAAGAGCTTATTGATACTTGAATTCAAACTGCCTGGGGTTGTGCAGAGGAGGTAAAGTAAGGTGAGATGCCTGATGTGGTGTGAAGTTTGAAGTGCTGGTAATGCAGCTTGCCAGAGCGCCCTGCTGTCCCCCTATGTACCCTGAAGGGCAGGGCTGAGATGCTCCTCGTGTACATACACGGGTGTATGGGTGATGGCTTGTGCCTGTAATACCTGGGAGTGGGGGGGCTACTGTCACCTGCATCCCTCTGCTGCCCCAGCAAGCAATGGGGGGGGGCATGTGCAGGCAGTGGGGCATGTCTCTGGTCCCTCCTCCAGACAGAGGTGGTAGTTTGTATTAGGGCTGTAAAAGTCCTTATTGGGGATGGACTGCACGGGCTCCCCTGTGGAGAAGGACCCCAGAAAATGCCTGAAGGGGAATAGCTCTTTCCAGGCAACATAAGAGCAATATAAATGTGTCACATAAGAAAAAAGCACAGGTCCTGCTAGCCAGCAGCTGTCCCTGCAAGGTATCATTAAGCACAGTCAGTGTGCAAGTGCACTGGCCTCTCTGGTGGTGATGGCCGAGAGCTGGGGGCTGTTGTGCTCCAGCCCCTGTTGGACTTGACGATCTTAAGGGTCTTTTCCAACCTAAATGGCTCTTGCAGTCAGTGACAGTGCTGTCTCATAGCCCCTCCGGCAGCATCACCCCACCTTAGCAAACAGTGACTGAAAGTCTCAAGGGGCTCAGCCCCCCCACTGCACCCCCCAGAACAAGGCAGACAGGGACACACTGGAACAGGGGTCCAGTACAGGGTGATGGAGGGACCAACAAACAGCTCTAGTGTGTGAGCCAGGGCTGCATCACCTGCAGCACAGTGTGTGGGGAGGTGTCATGGTATAGAAAGCTGGTGCTGTTTTGCTCTATCTAGTTAGGGGGAATAGAGGTGATA